TATTGCACCGAACCAGGTAATATTTACATGCATAAATCCCGAAATGAGGTGGCACGAAAAAATGGGGAGGCGTCGTTTTTCCGACGGTACATTACTGCAAAGTTTCGTACTTCCGAAAAACGAACTTCCCCATATCAGGGGGTTCATAATCACATGGTTGAGAGAGGGTTCATAATTTCGCCATTTGCTGCGATATTTCGGTGGTTCGTTTATCCAAATGTTCATAATTCCAATGGTGAAAAAGGGTTCATTATTCTGAAAATAGGTGTTATTCTTTAAAAATGTAAAAGCCTCGGTATTCGGAAGGTTCATCATTCCAATCAACAATGCACTGTTCTACGTCATTTTTTGAATAACGAATCCTATTTCATTTTCAGAAATATGAACCTTTGGAATAAACGTACTAGCGGCATTGCAAACCTTCGGAAAAAACGACCTGAACCGAAAAATAAGGCTGGAGCCGAAAAAAATGCATTTGTTTAAATCACTATTTATATGGCACTGACGAAGAACCCTTTTATACTGACACCGATCATATATTGTGGATTGCCCTATTACCGTGACCAGGGATAATATTACCCAAACTGTTATTCATTCAATATGATTACAATTTTATATTCAATAACAGGTGGTGTCGTGGTAATCATAGTGGTTAATTCAAGGTTAATTCAATTAACTCTCAAACCAACCATAGAGGGTTCGAATCCCAGCCTGGTATTTAAACGTACTTTGGCAAGTCATACTTGTTTCCTTTAACCAGTTTTAAATGGGAAATCTTTTAAAATGTATAACTGTAGGATAATTGAAGGGCCCATGAAAATATCATTATTGCTGAAGAGGCTCCTGAATTAACAATAAACATTTCCGATATCAATAATAATGATAATAATAATAATTCGCATTTGTATAGCGCCGTCTATCTAGACAATTCTATTCCAAAAAACAAAACAAAAAGACAAATAGAAAGAATAAGATAATTTGGATGAGTGTCATAGTGCCAAGTACAGGTATTGGTAAAACAGATGAGATTTCAGCTTGGGTTTAAAGGTATCTATTAAGGAAGTTATGATTCTCAAATTAAAAGGTAAATTATTCTAAATATTTGAACCTTTGGCCTTCCGGTTTCATTGTTTCGTGCGATTCCGTTTTCCAAAGCTTCTTCCGTTCAAATTGGCTTATGTCAACGTTTAAACATTCCTTTTCCACAAAATTTTTGATGAATAAGAGAAGTATATGAACTTAAACTTAAACTTTCAAATGGACGTGTGACAAATTGTATAAGAAGAGTGTGATTTTAATCATGACGTAACGTTGACTTGGTAGTCTATATTTTTAACATAATTTTGTTTTATTGAAGAAAATTGAATAAAACATTGTTTGGAACTTACGTTAAATAGTTTTTTTTTGAAGGGGCCCTTTTACACATAAACGCTAGTTGTGTACAGGCAAAATAGCACATTGGTTAAGCCTGCCTAAAACTCCACCCCACTACAAGGACAATGTCAATTTTGAAGAAAAACAATATCCATAACGTTTCAGGAAGTGAAATGAGGCAGTCAAAATAATGCCTATGAATGGACTAACTAGGTGACAAGGTGATTTTATCCTCAACAGAAGCATTTGTTTGCGAGTATAATGGCTAAAAGTGAGTTTAAAGGGAAAGTTGAGTTCTGTTTTCACACCGCAAGTGCATTCAAAGTGCATGGTTAATGCTCTTATTCTTATCTATGACATTTCTAGTGCCCTTTTAGAACCTGAAATTGCTATGAAGGTAATTTTAGATCCCAAAATGTGTGAAATTTAGCCAATACGATCATAACAATTCAGCTCCACTTAAAAAAAAACACCGTGACCATTAATTAATTATTTGATTAAAAATAACAATACATGAGCCGGCTAATTGTAGGTAATATAAGCAACACGAAAATGCCAACAAAAAAGCCTACATCGGCATTGGCTGAAATACGACGTAAGAGGCGTTATTTCGTTTTTTCAACGGTTTTTTCAAATTTTTCAAAATATCTAATATGTGTGGTGGTACGCAAGTATTAGAAATCGTAATATTTTAGCCGTCTCTGAACCAATTTTGATCAAACAAAGATGATTTTATCATTTAGATATTATGTTCTTTCAAATTTGACACTCAGTTGTTCATTATCTCACAAAAAATATTTTGTGTAGCGCCCTCTGCAACAGAACCCAACTATCCCTTAAACTAGGCACAATTTCACGGAACGCAGTAAAAAAATTTGCACCTTTGCAACTACCATGGCACCATTGCCCAACATCCAATTCAAATCAAGTATTCCATGGCAGTTACCACTGATGGCAAAGTTACCATCAATGATAGAATTATGCAACAGGACCCTGATTCATGTTTCAATTCATGTTAATTATTTAACCGCATGTCTCAGGGCTGCTGTTGAATATTAAACGGAAATAGATGCGTTTCGTTGTGTGTTACAGTGCATGCAAATCCATTGTAAACATAATCCCGAAAGAAGGGGTGGCACCAAACTTACTCGGTGGAAGTAGCTTTATCGGAAACCCACCACTGTTTTTATGAATGTATTCGACCTTGGAGTATTCACTTTTCTTGACCATGTTTTCCCCTGTGTTATCTTTGTCACCAGCTTGCCACTCAAACCCTTGTCTTCATGGAGGCACTTGCAAGGAGACGGACACAGGATTTACTTGTCTCTGTTTAGATCGCTACCGTGGTGAAAGGTGTGAAAAAAGTAAGTGAGACAGGGGTGGAGGCAGTTAAATGATTTGGGATCTATGTACGGGAGGGGGAAGGGGCAAACCCTTGTCTAACATAGAGATGCATGTCCTTGTGAGGAGAGCGAGCATGGCAAGATAAGAGTGCATGTCGCTTTACTTGTCTACATTGAGACACTTGCGAGAAGACAGAGACATATGAATCACTTGTCTACAGTCGCCATGTATATTGTCTCCCTTGAGGAAGAGAAGTGTGGTATAGAGCCTGCCTACAAAGGCCTCCGGTTTGTAGTGGCCAGTATTCTATTGGTTGCCCTTAGTTGACAGGTTTGCCTGTAATTGAAATAATCTACTTGTTTTTTTGTGGTATGATGAACACAATCATAAAAAATACGGTCGTATAAGTCCATGTACCGTGTGAGTAAAAACAAAGTTTACACTAACAAAAATTGTCATTTGTTTAAACAGTCAGCTATGAACGAGATGTTATCATACATGTTTTGAAAGATTGTAATATATTCCGAATCGTTTGGTATCATTTTTGTGTGGTATGTGTTCACGCTTGGATAAACAGGAGGCATTATTTGCGAGAGGGAAAAATTGACTTACGCAAAAGTATTATAGTGAGAGAATGAATTGAATGTATCAAATAAGATGCATTGCATATGCGTTTTGCAAAAGCAAAGTCACACACACACACACACAAACGCGCGCGCCAAAAAAAAAAAATGTTCTTTGATATTTGATATGTGTGGCATAATTTTTTTTTAGGGATGTAATTTGGATCTTCAAAGACCGAATTATTACCCAAATCCTAATTGTTTCATTCAAACATTACATAAGCATTTTTTATGGCGCAAGTCGATTGTTGTACTCTCTTAAACAATGTCTCCTGTTCATCCAAGCGTGAACACATACCACACACAAATGATTCGAAATGATTTGGGATAAAACACTATTTCATAAAGATGTGTGATAATTTACTGTTCATAGATGATTTTTAAAAATAATTAGCAATTTTCTAGGTGTAAACTTTAATTTGACTCACACTGACGTATTTCTCCATGTCTTTGCTATAAGCCAGTTCATAGATACAATCTGCGCATGGGCAGATAAAGGTCATTTGTACCAAAATGGTAAAACCCACAGAGATGAATACTGGATATGCGCTCATGAAAGTTATGTAACATTATTAATTGATGCACTAACGGTACATTCTAAGATACGCAGGCGGAAGTATTCTTTTCAAGAGAACAATCAAAAGGTATTCATGAAGCACATCTAGGACTTTGGCAGTTATTATTTTAAGATGCTCAAAGTGGAACTTCTCCATGTGTAAAAGATCTGTGGATATTTGGGGTCATTTGTACCATGTGCTATCTGTAAACTCCCTTATTATGATCCACTGTGGTTCTTCAAGCATTCCGAGGGGGATTCCACAGGGACTCAAACAAAAAAGATTTGATGAAGAGCTAATTGAAATGTCATTTTAATCTATTTTGCATGCATTGAAGTAATCCTAGTGTACAGATATAGGGACACCTCTTTCGTTGTATGTTGGCATTTCCCTGCGCTTTGTTTAACAGGAACTCATGTTTCAATTTAACTACATACATGTATTTACATCCCATTATTCCTTTTAGCAGATGGGCCTGTAAATAAAGGAGTGGTGGATCACAGATCGTTCAGCAACTATTCACTAGTTGCATTAACACCAACATAAAAAGTGTTCTAATACGACTGAGGTTTGAGTACTTAATGACTAATAATAGTCAATTAAGCGGCCTACGTAACACCAATTTGTATGTTCAGGTTTGATGGGAGGAGAGCAGATGGGCCTGTAAATAAAGGAGTGGTGGATCACAGATCGTTCAGCAACTATTCACTAATTGCATTAACACCAACATAAAAAGTGTTCTAATACGACTGAGGTTTGAGTACTTAATGACTAATAATAGTCAATTAAGCGGCCTGCGTAACACCAATTTGTATGTTCAGGTTTGATGGGAGGAGAGCTGAGAAAGTTAAATATTTAACTAGACATTTTACATCGCCGTAACGTCTTGTTTAAAACTTGTTTTTACCGAGTCACTAATAATGAGTTTCATTTTCTTTCTCCCCCCCCCCAACATATCTGGCACATATTGATTGTAAACTCTATAGATGTAACCATCCATTCGCTAAAGCTTCTTGGTGAAAGGATAAATGAAGGAACACTTGCTATAACGTCCCGCTCCAGTCCAAACACGTACGTGCTGATACATCAAGAGCGTTGGAACATGAACCTATCCCAATTGGCATGTCAGTATCTAGGGTTTGAAGGTAAGACATTATCGTTATCATCTTAAAGGTAGTTTTCCCCTTTTGCAGCCAAAATCAAATTCTGTAGAACTTTGTGTGACTGACTGACATGAGCATTTGTCATGATCATTTTTCCACATCAATAACCCATATCAGTAATGGCCAAAATGAAGCTGAATAAATCTTTACGCAGCACAAATCGTACGACCTATCGGTACGCGGGTCTGAAAATCAGACAATTTAATTAAACGAGCGCGCTCGCTAAATTCGATTCGACAACTAACGGTCGTTATTTTCACACAAAAAGACATTTTCAAGCCCTTCTGTTTTGAGGAAAGTTCTAAATTAGTATTCATAAATATAACCAGATCTCTGTGGCCTCTAATTTTCTCTCAACCTCTTTGTTTATTGTCCGACTCTCACATCTGTAGAGAAAAACTATTCAGATATAGTGACTTAAAGCTACGGATTCTGGTTTTCATGGTAATGTTTTATTTTTTAAATTACGGAGTTCATTTGCCATTGCAATTATTTAATTTATCTCAATAATACTTGTTTTCATCTGATGCATTTCAGTCTTTTTACAAATATTATCATACATCGTCTGTTTTTTTTTTTAAACATAATTATTGTTAAGTTATTTGAATTTATTTATTGATGTAATTACTCTTTCGTTTCAACGAATCATCATATATTGGTGTCATGTTCAGGAGTATATATATTCTGGTCAAACTGGAGATTTAAATTCCATGTTATAGTTGATGTTCTCATCCTTCAACCTGAATCCATCTCTTATCATTTCCTGTTTTCAAAACTCTTGTTTCTGGAGCCTACCCAAAGTGTATATGGTGTATTTCATCACAAATCAGTTTATTGTGCTACCCAACAAAGTTAATCTTTTGTTGTGGCTCGCAATTATTTTCTTCAACATATCATTGTGACTTCTTTTGTGTCATACTTTTTACATGAACTTTATTGAACAAGGAGTATATGCGACGTTGAGTGGTCCACTGTACAATTCCTCGTCCGTCGATACTCCTGCTCAAGCCGAATCAGTGATATGCCCTGCCAACGCCACAAACATCACAGACTGCTGGTACAGTGAGACTAAAGTTGGACGGACAACCGAGAGGGAATGTGTATCCATTGTGTGTTGCCCCGGTGAGTAATAGTAATAAGGATAATAATAATGATTATAATGAAAGTAATCGTGATACAAAAAGTAATGCAAATAATAATGATATAATACTATTTATAGTAATAGTAATAATGATAGTAATATCAATAAGGATAATTATGATGATTATGATGACGACGATGATGATAATAATAATAATAATGATAATAATACTAATGTTATTGCTTGTCTAAAAAGTAACTAAAAGAGTAACTTCATCAGTGAAACTTCTAGAATTAAAACGTGCTCTACACGTACAGTGAGTCCTCCAAAATGGAGAGATATTTTGATTGGCAACATCTTTTAAAATGCTCGACCATCCTTGATGAAAATTCATTGATAACCTGTAATGGTATGCCCTAGTGGTCTTGTGAATTTCAAAGTAATTCATGTAAAAAATACTAACTTTACGATCATTTTTTGCTATGTAAGCGTAGCTTTTTCTAACTCTAATTATTATTACATTCTTTTATTTCAACCAAAACTTCAGGTTGGATTTCAAATAAAAGAAGAAAAATAGAGATAATAATAAAGGAAAAAATGTACGCACAATTAAAAAACTGTAGATTATGATACACCAATATTTGAATAACATTGTACCAATAACATCATTTAACATTTTTAAATACACCTGGCGCCTGAACGTTTTGTTGCAAGCTCTCAAATTAACATCACTTATCGGTAAAGAAAAAGGGATCAAGAATTAAAATTAATATCATTTGCATACGCATCAATGTAATCTAATGTCTTCAGTGTTTTTTGTATAATCTAAATTAAATATAAGAGTTGAATACGAAATACAATTTTAATTTTTATTTTAAAACAATGCCTTGTGTTTTCCTATAGTATATTGCTTGTCATATTGATTGACATGTAAATGAATAGAAAAAGTACATAACTCATAATTTACTTCAAAACCTTCTTGAAATAATTTCTTTTGCGTCTGGTTCTTAAAAGAAGTTATAAATACAGGTTCATGACATTGTTTAAATGGAAATATTTGTCGCGAAATACAAAAGCACTGATGCTGATTAATATGATTTCTTTGTAAACATTTGAAAAATTGTACATTTTGCAAAAATAGTGATTTTTTTTAGTATCACCTGAGATTGTATATCCTTATACAATCTAAAGAGAGGTTAGGGGATATTATAACAACTTGTGACTTTTATGCTATGATGAAATGTAATTGTCACCTTCGTATTTTATTTGCACTTCTATGCCTTTGTCGTTCTACTCTGTAATATGATTTTATTATCTCTTGGCCTTTTTTCCAACAGTAAACCCGTGTAATATATCTGGTCAACCACTCGGCCTTGAAAGTGGTGCTCTTCCCGATTCGGCTTTCTCTGAATCATCCTGCATCTCGGCGTCCTTCTGCAGCCGTTTTGGCCGCCTGAACTCTGAGACAGCCTGGATTGCAAACCCGTCCGACCAATACCAATGGATGCAGGTCCAATTTGAGTCCAGTTATATCGTAACGGCCATAACGACTCAGGGTGGAAAACTCTTTGGAAAGTGGGTGACGTCATACACCTTGTCGTCTAGTTTTGACAACGTGGCTTGGACTGATTATTTGAACGTATACACTGGATCAATTGAGGTACATGTAATTCACAAACTGTATATCCTCAATTACATTAAAAAAAGAAATTAATCAGTGGTCTTTGTGTCCAGAGATAAACAAGTGTTACCTCGTTGGAACTCCATTAAACTATGGAAAATTTGTTGCTATAATACAGCTTTGTTGTGCCTTGGCTGCAAAAACCAGCACAAATAAACAAACAAAACAAACAAAAAACAATATATATCAGTTAGGAATAAAACCGATTGTCTTGCCTTGCTGAAGTAAAAGTTGATATAACAATGTTTTCATAACCCAAGGTCCCACTGTAATTTATACCATTAAAAGTATTATTATTATTGATATTATATATTTTATTTGGCAATAAAGAAGGGACATAACAAATAAGAAAACAGACAACTGGGCAGGTATAAACAAAGGATAGTAAAACCACTTGAATGCAAGGGACACAAAATGTTAACCTAATACCGGTAGCAAAAAGCCCCTTTTCAGTTCCAGTGGTTGTAAGCGTAAACTGCTTTAGAAATAAATATTCAATATAAAAATTACAACCTAATGTTATCTTATAATTAATACAGAACCAAATATCCCATCAATAAAACATTTTTGTTATAAATTGGGAGAGAAACTCAAGAAGGGAAAACAAAAAAGACAAGGAGGAGAAAAAGAAAGAAAAGACTTCCAGTGTAGCATGGAATGAAAGAAAGTAAGAAAAAGCGAAGGATCAAACATAAATGATTTAAAACAAGAAGAACACAAATCTTTCATATTCCATTATCAATATCATGCACAAAATTAATTTACCGCAGCTCTCCTGGAGAGAAAAAAATCATGCAGTTAACAAGGTTCATGGAAATTATCAATAAGTTTCCTAAGTGTCATATTTATTTTTAAGTTATAAAACTGGGGAAAAAGAACTGGTGAAAAGGAACTCCATGCATTTCTAGTTTTATGTATAATGGGTAACAAAGAAGTATAATGGGCAGACGAAAAGTCAAGATAGCAATATACATAATATAGGCCTATGCATATCAAAACAAACGAGAATCATTATTAAACCCTTACAACACAATGTTCAGCAAACCATGTTGATGAGGAGGTTTCTACAACCCCCGAGCGCAGGAACTCAGGTAGCTCTTCTTCATTTTACACAATACTGTTCAGGATTCGGTCAGCATTATATAAATACACATGCCGTATAGGGTTATGAACTAACGATGAGCCTCATTTAAAATGAATTTTCTTTGCAATATTACTTAATATCATTCTCATAACTTTATATGTTTTTTATAGATATTTCCGGGAAATTATGACCGTGATAGCCATGTGACTCACACGCTTGCTAGGCCGGTAGTTGGACGCTTTTTCCGGATCCATCCAAAGACCAATGAAGGTGACATTTCTTTGAGGATGGAACTATATGGGTATGGACCTCTAACTGATGCCATAGGTAAGTGCAGAGTAAGACTGTTAACGAAAGAGAATGTTTGCTTCTGGTACAATTAAAAGGGTTACCTCGAATTGATGACAAAGGTTGGTGGGAGTAGGACTATTACTACAAGAAATGGTCAAAACTTTCAAGTTCTGGACGAAACACTTGTGTGCAGTCCCTTCACCCATTTCTGTGTGTAATGCATGTGACTTTCAGCATAGTTTAATCTTCTTTTTGTTTCAAAATATTATCATTCCTAAACCCCAGGGTATATATCATTTCTTATGTTATACAAGGCCAACCTTTCACAATAGCTTCTGGAAAGTTTCTGATCGCCCCTCTACCACGTTCAGGAGAACCGCCCCACCGCATACTACACCATCCTCCTGCGATCGATTTTCGAAGAAATGGCAATTGTATTAAATACGGAAATCTAAACAAACATCATCTTCCCAATTTAAAAATAGTATCAAGTGGAATTTTAGTGCATTTAATTCTTCTAGACAGAATAAAAGCCTTATGGCTTCAAATCATAGACAATCTCACTACTGGCCTGACGTCACTTCGAGTCAGAGCCGATTTAGGTTATCCTCAAGAAAGTTTAAAATCCCTCGAAATTTAGATTTGATGATTAATATTACTTTACGGATCCTCGATCATTGGGATTTAGTGCATGTTTGAATTTTTCTATCAAATGTTGTTGCAATATTTCCAGAAAAGGGGTTGTTGTCTGATCGTACAGCGTGCGATGGGTTTAACGCATCCATCCTAAATCTTTCTCATCTGAATGCTCTCCGAGCGCGAAGGCAAACTCAAGGAATGTCCAAGTGGGCCAGCGAATTTCCCTGCGTTCGCCATGTTTAAACATGTCAGTTGGTAGCGGCAATTGTCCGGTGTAAGCAAATAATTCCCCCGACGTTATCCAATAGTGGGCCCCGCGAGTTGTGGTAGGGTTTCATTTCTTTAAGATTTCAACGAACACGGTGATTATTTCATCACATTAAGTCAAGCGCGTATGCAAAGATTAATTTAATTTAATCGGCAATTGCCGAAATGTACTACCCTTAAGAATAAATAATCTTTCTTTTCCATCAACATAGAATTCTCTTTTGGGTAACGAAATGTCGCGGGTTGAACAGGCCAACCCCCATCTGTTAAAACATGAATATTATAGGTGATTACAAGAGCATCCTGTCACACGAATGCTCAAGAAATACAGGAACTCTTGTTACCCATGGCAGGTGTTTTTATTACCACGCGAAAAATCAACACACCTATATTTTCATAATCATAATAATCATTAGTTTCCTTAAGGCCGGCTCACATAGTAGAGGCAAATGACGGAATCGCAACGATTTTTTGCCCCCACAAACTTTTCAAAATGCTGAAAATTTGCCGACGGACGCGACTGATAATTTCGGCCGTCTGCGGTCGCTAGCGGATTCATCAGCGACAAATGAAAGCAACACACGATGATTGGCGGGAATAATAATATTGCAATCGGCAGCTTAACGTAGATTGCGGTACCCCCTATTCGGCATAATGTGAGCCGGCCTTCAGATCCGTACCATTCCTCGATTATAAATCTCCTTTTTTGTTTCCTTCTCCATTTGTTGTTGTTGTTGTTGTTTTGTTTTGTACTCCTTGCTTGTTTGTTCTTATTAACATGTTGTATAACTTGTTGCCAGAGTAGATTACCGGATTACATTCATGAACAAATATATTAAAAAGATAACCTTGCCTTGCGAGTAAGTAGGAAATGTAAGAAAGTTAGTTACAAGGTCAGTTAGTAGTCTTCGTCTTTTTGTGTTATTTTTTGTGCAGCGTCGCTGAACTTCGAAGCGAAATTCGGTTGCAATCCTCCTGTCCTAGGCGAGGGGCTTGGCGTGGAAGATGGCCGTATACCAGACTCTAGTCTGACCTCGTCATCGATCTGGAGTTCCGGTCATGAAGCTTACAGAGGAAGACTGAATGCCGTAGTCGTTTCAGGAAACGCCGGTGCGTGGGTTGCCGCCGCTGCAGCCAACAATGAGTGGATTAAGGTAATTAATTTTGCTCTAGCATGTCTAAATGCGCGTTGAGATGATATCAACAAATAATTTGTGTACAGCTAAAATGCATACAAATCTAACTTCTCTTCGTGATAGGCTGCTTAGCCCTGGCCTTGTATGAACCAACTGATTAGAAGTATGAATAAAATAAAGAATAACATACTGTAATCAGGGGCGTCTCCATAGGGGGGGGGGGGCGACAACCCCCCCCCCACCTGTCAGGATATTGTCGGTAAAAATGCGCTGCCGTCGGGAAAAAAAAGAGAAAAGGGGGAGGAAAATAGGAAAGAGGGAAAGGGAAAGAAAAGAAGAAAAAAGAAAAGGAAAAGAAGAGAAAGAAAGGAAAGAAAAGAGAAGAAAGAAAGAGAAAAAATAAAAAGAGAGAGGAGAGGAAAAAAAGGAAAAGAAAGAAAAGGAAAAAAGAAAAAAAAGAAGAAAAAGGGAAACAAAAGAAACGGGGGGTGAAAGAGAGGAGAGAGAGGGGAGGTAAGAGCCGGAGAGAGGATGAGTGGGAATAAAAGAGAGAGGGGAGTTGTTGAGTGGAGTCGTCTCGTCAAGGGAGCAAGAAAGACATAGGTAAATATGTTGCTGTGTCGGGTCAGCTGTGTCGGTACTCTTGTTCGATCCTCAATGCAGAAGTTTGAAGTCGGTGAGATGTAGGCCTACAGTGCGTCCCAGAAAAAACGAAACCGAGAAGTATCGATGTTTTATCATAACTTAATCACAACCATAATTAATGAATGATACATATTTAGAAAGCTTCGAGTCTCCTCTTTCAGCATGAGTGATTAAAAGCAATTTGAAGGAAGGAAACCAAAAAGACATTTGGCGGGCGGTATCTGAATTTCGAAGAAGAATTCACATTTCTAGAAAGTTGAGTTTCTGCCCTTTCATATGACACCTCAATCAGGAAAAATGAGCGAGGAATAACAAAGTTCTGTTTGTTTAAAGTAACCCTTACATTTTTATAATTTTAACAAACGAATTCGTTTTCACTTGGTGTCTGCTGTAGCAAAAAAGCAGATTTGACAAAAGACTTAACTCCGTTCGTTGACAATCAGCCATGCATGAAGACTCTCGTCTACGGCTGATTGTCAACGAAACGGATTTAAATCTTTTGCTAAAGATAAACTTGAGTTGTGGTAATGCGATTGCATTGTGAAAGAAAAGGTGTGAAATGGATCAGAAAAGTTGATCATATAGCATGTAAGTAATGGTGTGTAATGCAAGGTTCTGGAGTCATCAAAATCATCATAAAATTTGGCAGAGTCTTGGTAAAGTAACAATCACTTACACAGAAAAATGTATATGGGACAACACACATGGTGTCGGGGCTAGTACTACTCTGATTTCCTTATCTTTCTATGCTCATTACTCAGCCAGTATACATTTTCTTCCAAAATTGTTTGGCACATGACTTTTATTTGTAATCTTGAACATTCAGTGTAAGATTCGTTAGATTCTGTGAGAATTCATTTTCTTTTTTTACCAGATCTCAAGTTTATCTTTAATTTCGTTTATTGATTCGGCAGGCAGCCAGTGAAAACGAATTCGTTTAATAAAATTATGGAAATACAAGCACTACTTTAAACAAACAGAACTTTGTCATTTCTCGCTCATTTTTCCTGATTGAGGTGTCATATGAAAGGGCAGAAACTCAATTTTTTAGAAATGTGAATTATTCTTCGAAATTCAGATACCGCCCGCCAAATGTCTTTTTGGTTTCCTTCCTTCAAATTGCTTTTGATCACTCATGCACGAGATATGCATCATCTGAGTAGCATCACATGAAAGAGGAGACTCTAAGCTTTCCAAACATTCATTAATTATAGTTGTGATTAATTTATGATAGAACATCGATACTTCTCGGTTTCGTTTTTTCTGGGACGCACTGTATATTGTCGGTCAGCCGACAATTTGTTTTTCCCTACGAACTGTGACTTTTTATCCGCTGTGACGACCTCAAGAGTAACTACAACTACAATACTAGTATTTTCTCGAAGTTTCACTTTCCTATAATATCAGCTAAAGAAATCAGAGGTTTAAAATTTAAAAGAGTCAACAATGCGACGATTCGTCTTCCTTTCTCAATATTTTGATGAAACCCAAAAAATTCCGCGCTTCGCGCGGGAGGGGAAAACCACACTTAGACGAGTCAAGAACGGTACAACGAATCGTCTTCTTTCTCTCATAATTTAAGGAAACGTCAAAGCTTCCGCGCTTCGCGCGGGCGGAGGGAAACTGAATTTAGACAAAATTAATTAGGGTTAAGAGTCACGAACGGTACAACGAATCGTCTGCTTTCTCTAATAATTTAAGGAAACGTCAAAGCTTTCGCGCGAGAGGGCGAAACTGAATTCCAAAAAGGATAAAGAGTCGAAAACAGTACACCGGATCGTCTGATTTTCTCTAATAATTTAAGAAAACTTCAAAGCTAGCGCGATTCGCGCGAGAAGGGGAAACTTCATTCAGACAAGGATTAAGTGTCGAGCACGGTTCAACGAATCGTCTACTTTCTCTAATGATTTAATGAAACGTCAAAACTTCTGCGCTTCGCGCGGGAGGGGGAGAACTGAATTCAGATATGGATTAAGAGTCGAGAACGGTACACCGAATCGTCTGCTTTTTCTCTAATAATTTAAGGAAACGTCAAAGCTTCCGCGCTTCGCGCGAGAGGGGGTAATTGAATTCAGACAAATAGGGCTAATTAAGAGTCGAAAATGGTACACTGAATTCAGACAAGGATTAACAGTCGAGAACGGTACAATAAAGGCCTATCACACACACCCCCTAATGAGCGTGCTTTGCACGCTCTTTAAGTGATTTGCTTGCTCACTACCGCCCCTCCCTAAAATAAGATCCTAGCTCCGCGCCTGCATTAAAATATATAGCTATGATACTGACTAAGTTGACGAAATAATTCGTATATTATTTTATGTCGTCGAGTACTATAGATAGTCCATAGGAAAAACAATTTATCCTTCGGCCCCGGGTTTATAGGGTTAAATTTGTAGATATTGGGACGTTTAATTTTGTCGGTAATAGGTGGCTAGTTTTTTCGGTAATCGTTGGCCTCTACACCCCCCCCCCCCCCCCCCCATTGAAAAAGCTCTAGCGACGCCCCTGACTGTAATATGATATTTTTCATGTGTACGAATTAAGCTCGGCCATCTTTGCTTTATTTGAACACGCCTTCAACTTACCTTAAGGTCATGAATTATTTATATAATATGGACCGACCTTGAGGGAGATACAACATATATTTCCCAAACTAGACTCATATAGCCCCGAGTCAAAGACGAGGGCAATATGGGTCTTGTGAGGGCAATATATGTGGTATCTCCCGAAAGTTAAGCCAGTCAATATTATAGTATTAATGACTGCTTTGAGAGAAATAGTTGTTTTATTACGCTCAAGGGAAGGTTAGAATTGTGCTATTCCCCGAGGCTTGCCGAGGGGAATAGCCCAATTCTAACCTTCCCGAGAGCGTATGAAAACAACTATTTCTCGAATATTAAAGCAGTCATTAATACTTTTATATGCCGAAAAAAAAATAGACTAAAAAATGAAAAATTAAAAATATTTACCATTTTTGTCGAAGACGGGATTCGAACTCTTGCGTACAACAAGAGGTGTACCGAAAGCCAACGCTTAGACCACTCGGCTATGGCCCGCCGTTAACATGCTTGGCAGTTTTCTCCAATATATATATTAAAATGGATTGAAACCGGCTTCGCGTGTGATGAATGCTTCGCAAAAGCTCCATATACGGACTCTTCTTTTACTTTTGCAATGCATATTGGCACGAACTTAGATCAAGATCTATCGGCAGATGTTGTTTTTAATACTAGCAGTCATTAATACTTTTATATGCCGAAAAAAATAGACTAAAAAATGAAAAATTAAAAATATTTATCATTTTTGTCGAAGACGGGATTCGAACTCTTGCGTACAACAAAAGGTGTACCGAAAACCAACGCTTAGACCACTCGGCTATGGCCCGCCGTTAACATGCTTGGCAGTTTTCTCCAATATATATATTAAAATGGATTGAAACCGGCTTCGCGTGTGATGAATGCTTCGCAAAAGCTCCATATACGGACTCTTCTTTTACTTTTGCAATGCATATTGGCACGAACTTAGATCAAGATCTATCGGCAGATGTTGTTTTTTTGTTTTTGGAAGTTTATTTTCGTCTTCATGTCAACAATGCAAGATAAAATTGTCGGTAAGATCGATCGAGATTCAATTGTATTGAAATTACCGACCAATCCTTCGCACACATACGGCATCCTCCATCGCTCAAACCATTTTTTAACATGTAAACCTATGGGGAAACCATGGACGCTGACCAACTTTTTTTAATAACCATGGTTATTAAAATATTGAAATGTTTTATGCATGGTTACCGAGAATTTTACAGGAACAGTTGAAGTTTATGAATGCAATTCGACCAATCAGATGGCTGGATTTCTTAAGTGAGGTATATAATGTTTGATGCTTTCTATATTCGTATGAACTCTTGGAGTAACAAAAACTATACAAAACGCTGATCAGCTTCGCATTATAGTATTGGGTGAGGTCATCTCCGCTCGATTTATTCATGTATGTGAATGTATTTATCATTTGGCAAATAATGACGGAGAAGTATTGAAGAATAATGCCTACGTCCATTTTCTCTACGGCTAGGATATGGCGGCAGTATGCCCCCAAAATCAAGAGATACCTGCGGCGGCCGCGAATAATCTGTGATGGCCTCAGGTTCGCCCTAGGCCTAGGGCGTATCTTTGTCTTTACAGGCCGTACGGGTCGCCGAAGGATTATAATGCGGAGTTATAACTTTTTTTTCCTTTTCGAGATTCGCCTTTAATAGCAAAAGGACAATTAGACACGCCGTAGCCATTCCGTAGAGGGGTTCCACAGCGACCATACGTCGAGTGTACGGTGGCATTGCGGCTACCTCGCGTCTGACTTGGTATTTGTCAAAAAAAAATTGGGGATATCGTAAGAGGCTACGGGCTACGATGTTTGTGTTTACATTATCTACAATCCGTACAGAGGCTGCTCGGAGATTGTACGGAAATCGTACGGAGCCCGTGCAGCTTCCGTGCAAAGGTTTCGCGGAGAAGGCGCGGTGACCGTGCAGCCGCCGTGCCGTTTTTAAGCTCTTTTTTTCTTCCTCCATGTTCACCGAAAAATAGTGCGTTTGCGCGATGCCCGTGCGGGGATTGTGCAATGACACTTACGACATGACTACGGGCTTACCATTTTTCAAATTTGTATAACTCTCTGCGAAACAAAATCGTAGAGGGCGCGGAGCCCGTGAATCCGTACGAAAATCTCACGACCGCCTCCTGCCTTCGTTCGGAGGCCGCACGGAAAAGGGGGTACGGGAAAGGCTCCGTAGACTGATCGTAGGCCAAATGTAATCCAGGCATAAGGCGACCGTGCGTCATACCACATCAAAGGCCGTAAGGCAGCCGCAAGTGTTCTGTCTCCACAAATTCAAAATACGCCGTGCGGTTACCCTAACATTTGTGACTTCTGTGACCGTGGGAGTGCTGCGGCGGCCCTGTAATTGATTTCATTATGTCATCACTCCTAAAGATAATGCAAAGTTTTGGAAATGTTGACAATTGGATGAATAGTAATTCCTTAAAATGTTGATATATTTTGACGCCCCTGTGGTTAAGCACTAGAAAATTTTGCCCCTAAAACACTTCTGCTTTTGAGAAATTGAATAATCAAACAAGTACCGGCGCTTCCTATAAATTTCAAATAGTGCTTTAAATGGCCATTCCATTGTAGCTGCGACCATGAAAATCGCAGCTCTGATGTGTAATTTCCAAACGCGAATAGCACATCGGTCGATTATAGTAATAAACAACAATATTGTTTTAAATCTAAAGTAATATCTGTCTTGAAAAGGCGCTATACAAAATAAACAAATTATTATTTACAATTTCATCACTTTAGACTCGATTTCAACCGCGACAACGATCATTGAATACTGTAAAATCGCATATGCTTCCAATATGTTAATTTGAACCAAATTCATGACCCCATACCAAAACTTTGTATTACCTTTGTATGGTCACATAAAGTCATACATCGAAAAAAAGGGCCCGTTATAAGCACAGCTTGAGGTGACATCCTCATCATAAATGATAATGTAAACAATGCACAGTGAAAAGTGGAAGGTGGAAAAAGATGAGAGAGGGAGGGAGAGAGAGAGAGAGAGAGAGGGGAGAGTTGGATTCAAATAGTATTACCTGGAACATGTCAAGTCTGTAGACAACTAACACCTTAACAGAGCTCCTGACAACTTAGATGATTATATTATAAGATACAAGGATACATGCTGTAAAAAAAACACCGATGTACAAAATAGAGGCATTAAACAAAACAATTTTTTTGTAATAAAAAAATATATAACAAAGTTTAAGGGCTGGTCGGACTCGACCTACAATGGAAACGGGATTTCTCTCTTGAAGTCCGCCCTAAATAAAACATTATGAATCTCGCTTGAATTGTATTCATTTAGCTCAGAAGATGGCGGTGCGAGCCATTTCATTTTCATCATTGAGAACATCCTCCTGACCTTTATTTTAAACAATTGGGGATATTGGATGTTTTTGGTTTGCTTGAAATCACTAGCAGTTTTAACATTTGTATATGATTTGTATAGTACAAATTTGCCACACACATTATTAGATTATTGTAAGATTGTACACCATACTTATGAAACAAGAGAAAAAGAAAATGCAATTCTACCCTTGCCAATGTGTAGGACGACACACGGTACATTCAGTACTTCTTTTGTTGGACCAAAGCTTTGGAATAGCTTACCTCCGAAGATTAGAACAAAAAACTAGCTTTTCATTTCGTAATACTCTCACTGATGAACAAATAAATTATCTGTTATGTTAGCAGTAAGTAATGTTTTGTATTTCGAATGGATACAATATAATTGTAGGAACTAGTATAATGCTATAGTAATTAAGAGATACACTATTGATGTATGAACGATGTCAGTAATAATTATACTACTGAAAATGGTAATCAATAATAATGATAATCATTAAAAAAAATATATATATATTTATTTATTATCATTTTAAGATTTACTATTGAATAATCAATCATATTAAATGATTTAGCTTCATATTTTGTAAAATGGAATCTGACATCATCTCTATAACCACCCTATATACCGTGGCTTACTCATATATATATTATCTCATTCATTATGTATGCTTACCATATGTGTATGTTTATCACTGACCTGTAATATTTCATTTATATATTTGTATTATAATACTCTGTAACCAGTGGAAACCAATTTCCTAAAAAGGACAATAAATTATTATACTTATACTTGTATAGTAAACAGAGAAAACCGATCTCGACTAGCACTTGTGCTAACTTTTGTTTTTCTTTTAGCCACAACTTGAACTTTTGTATAAATGTGTTTTATGTAAGCATCAATTAAGCCTTTGAAGTAATTCATTTTTTCGACAGTATGTACATGTTTTATTTCATTGTTTGGCCTTGTATACTTTGTTTTATGATGTACATGTACTGTTGTTAATAAACGTCAAACTTCAAACTTCAAAATAAAAGGCGAACCTTCAATCAAAAAATCTCTCTATCGCTATCATTCAAATCTGACCAGCTCTCTCGGTTTGCTCATATTGAAAGCAACATGTGTTCAAAAGGTTCATATGTTTTTTTGTCATTACTATTGTTATCAAACGCAAGATAATCTGCCATCGGATATATTAATATTTGTCCTATTTTCATCATTTAAATCACCAAAAGGTCGATCTCGGCGAGGATACTTTGGTAACTGGTGTTATCACACAGGGACGGCCCATATCTGACCAATGGGCTACGTCATTCCGAATCTCCTACTCAAGAGACAATATAAATTGGACCTTTGCCTTAGAAAAGCATTGCGGGGTACAAAAAGTGAGTATCATTTTCGCACTTCCGGAAAAGGCCAATTTTCTTCTGGTCAAATCTATCATCTTCCTTGGTTATCCATGTTTTTTTTATAACTTGTATACTAAACTATTTTTCCAATTTCCTATTATAAATAAACTTTTTCCATTGCTTTCGTTCTTTTTCAGACATATGCAGGAAATTTTGATGCTGACACACATGTGACCATACTGTTTCCTGAGCCAGTAGCCGCACGGTACGTCACGTTACATCTTGTAACATTTGCTAGACGGGCGGCTGTGAGATTCGAAGTACTTGGTATCAACACTTGAACCATCACGAGTTGATTTAATGTTTCATCAAATCTTTTGTATTCTTTTATTTATATACTTATTTATTAATTTATCCATAAAGGTAATACAAAGTTTTGGTATGGGGTCATGAATTTGGTTCAAATGAACATATTGGAAGCAATGCGACCCTACAATATTCAGTGATCGTTGTCGCGGCCGGAATCGAGTCTAAAGTGATGACATTGTGAATAATAAACTCGTTATGTTGTATAGCTCTTTTTCAAGGTTAAGATATTAAATTAGCTATGAAACAAAGTTTCTTGACTAAAATCGACAGATTGGCTATTCCCGTTTGGAATTTATATATCCCAACTACGGTTCTAGGACAATTACCCCCTGGGAAATCACCTCCCCCCCCCGGAAAATTACCCCCCGGAAAACTACCCCCAAAGGACAATTACCCCCTGGAATGTTACTCCCCGGAGAATCACCCCCCGAAGACAATACCCCCCAAGGGCAATTACCCCCCGGAGAATTACCTCACGAGGACAACTACCCCTCGAGGACAATAACCCTCTAGGACAATTACCCCCGAGGACAATTACCCCCGAGGAAATTACCCTCGAGGATAATAACCCCCCGATGACAACTACCCCCCCCCCCCCCCTCCGATGACAATTACCTCTGAGGACAATTACCCCACGAGGACAACTACCCCCGATGATAATTACCCCCCGAGTATAATTCCCCCGATGACAATTACCCTCCGAGGACAACTACCCCCGTGGACATCAGAATTCAATAGCAAAATACGATCTGACACATTGAGAGATGGCTACGAGCCCATAAGATCCCCTGCATGAACCCGTATTCTTTCAAGTACTATAGCACGTTGTCTTCCTCATTACTACACATTCCCCTTTTATTATAATTTATGCAACGCCAGTGCGGTTGCTAATTTCTACGAAGGATGTAAGTTTTAGGTAATTTTCCAGCGCTTTTCAAAATGCATAGAAATACATTTCTCTGGAGCAGCGTTATTTTAACTTTTTGTTAGTCACGGTACACTCTTAAGAAATGAAAAGTTTCTCTCAAATCCCAAAGTCTTTACAGACTATTAATTTTGCATGACTCTGGCTCTCGTCAAGTGATATGCACACCCGTATGGGCACATTTAAGAATAAAAAAGAGAAGACATTTTCAAACTGGTAACAAATTTGTTTGTAATCCACACACTAGAAACTATTTAAAGTACTGTATGCGGGCACCTTCCCGCCGAATGTACATAAATAAAAAGTGATATATTCGGTCATGACCTTGATACACGAATGTGAGGATATTCGGGCCTCTCGTTGCCCTTATTTGACTTGCTGTCAAAATTTGGTCAGCGAGCGAGGAAGGAAGACACTTTAGTATCTTCAAAATTATATTTTCTCATGTAATTACATATTTTAACCGTTTCTGGTATTTGATTTTTTTTACAAAATCAACGTTTTCCAAATCATTCTCTTGCGGCACCCCGGTTGAAAAACGCTGTGCTGGAGTTACAAAATCAAATGAGATGAATTACCAGAGAGCGGATATTTATTTTCTTTTGACATGGCACCGTACATATAAGTCAAGGCAATTTCTATTTCAAAATAATTTAACGTACACGAAAACACATTATACTTTAGCATGACAACATAAATAAATAGATATAGATAACGTGAAGAAAACCTTAATTATGGATCATGGCATGGATGAGGGCCCATCAGGAGCGTACGCAGGATTTTTTCAAGGGGGGGGGGGGGGTCTAAAATCTAGCCCAAAATATTTTGCTCCCGAAAATTTTGAAAATCGCGCCGGCCGAAAAGTCGCTCAGTGGGGGAGGGGGGGGGGGGGGGGGGGGGGGGGGGGGGGGGGTAAGCGGACACTTTTTTTTTTTTTTTGGTCTCGAAATTTGAAAATTTGACATTTCTCTTCGTTGGGGGGGGGGGGGTAAGGTCACTTTACGTTAGCCGTGGGCATAATTTAAAAAAAAAGGGGGGGGTTTTTTTTTTTTTTTTTTGGGGGGGGTTTACACACATAAAAATACCAAAGGGGGGGTTTGAACCCCCAAATCCCCCCCCCCCCTGCGTACGCCCCTGGGGCCCATTATACATACAAAGACAAATACACGATCAGCTGATTAAAAAAGTTACAGAGGGTGCATAAATGAAATCTGACATCCTAAATTCTTTGTTGTGCCATTGATGGTGAGAGAGGCTGTAACGCGTACTCATCTGCGCGCAATGTATTGTTCAATTTCTAAGAAATATAATTTCTGCTCTTTACTCGGTAATCAAACTACAGGGGAATTGGGCAACCTCCACCCCCCCCCCCCCCATATCGAATTGAATAATTTGAAAAGACTGAAATGAACTTGATGAATAACAATAACAAAAAAAAAGGTTTATGCAATTTTCTGTAAATAGCAGTTTGGAGAGAAGCTTGCGTTATACGTCACAGTGTTATATATTCCTCGGGGGGGGGGGGAATTGTCCTCGGGGGTAGTTGTCCTCGGGGGGTAATTGTCTCCGGGGGGTAATTGTCCTTGGGGGGTAATTCTCCGGGGGGTAAGTTACCCTTGTATGGCCGTAAGCGCTATTTGAAATTGATGAAAATTTACCGGGAGCACCGGTAATTTTTTTATATCTAATTGTTCTCGAAAGCAGAAGTGTCTTAGGGGCTAAATTTTATAGTGCTTATAATAGATCCATAGGGGCATTTACATATATCAAAATTGTAAAGAATTACTATCCAGCCATTTTTCAAAATTTCCCAAAACTTTGTATTACCTTTAATAAATCTCTATATTAATTAATTCATTTACTTGATGAAATATTTATTGTGATATAGCTTCTAAATTAAAGGGCGAGTCGATTACAATTATAAATGATTTGAGTATAGCGCCATAGTTTTGTTTTCATTCGATTACAGGTGACAGCAAGATCTTTAAAGACAAATAATCTACTTTCTTTTTTTCATGGAGATTTTGTAACATGTTTGTACCGGATGTTTACCCGATATTAGCTGTACTTGATAACCGAGAGAAGACTTCAAATTTACGATGAGGCGACAATTGAGTCTGAAATGATCAACAATATACAGCGAACTTGAATAAAACCCACTCTTATGGACAGTTCATCATCCAAAATCTCCATCTAGAACGCTCTCAGAGACACAAAGACAAGCTAGAGTAATTTTCCGGTGGGACATCAAGTTGCGCAGTAATTTTAAGATGCCTGATGCCACGAAGGAGAGCTGGTTTATGAAGAGAAACATAGAGGTATGCATGTACATATAAAGGGTCAAAAATCAAAGATTAACAGACGTAAAAAAACATCGCCACATATTTTGAAACGGCGCTACAGGTGTTGTGGAAAACAGCAGGAAAAGAAAAAGATGAACGTAGAATGCTTTGCAATTTGCTAGAGCGTTTGCTAAATGTGGGAAAAAGAATTAATTCTCCGTCATGTGCAAAACTAACTAAAAGTCAGAAAAAGTTCGTTAAAGAAAAGAGATGGGAAAACGGAGTTAAATGTATTTGAACTTGTATCATGTATATAGAGTCTACTCAATGAAAAACAAGTTATTATAAGGGTGGACTTCGCTTTTGAACCAGAATGTAGCTCTATGCTCATGAATCGAAAGTGATAAATCCGAAGGTCAACTAGGAGTATATTTGCAGTGTTAGGAAGAAAAACAATTTACTCCTGAATTATTCTGCGACATGATTAATATATGGTTGGCACATCTGACTGGTGGTGCTTCGGTAAAAGTCTACAACCACTAATTAAAAGTGTACATATATGTTTAACGGTTCTAGGACACGTATCCCCTGGACATCCACCCCCGGATAACCACCCCGGACAACTAACCCCTACGACATTGATCCTCTAGGACAACTACCCCGGACAACTATCATAGGGGGTAGTTGTCCGGGGGTAGTTGTCATTGGGGGTAGTTGTCATTAGGGTTTAATTGTCCTAGGGAGTAGTTGTCTGGAGGTATTTGTCCGGGGGGTGTTTGTTCTGGGGGTAGTCGTCCTAGAAGGTGCCTGCCATAGGGGGTAGTTGTCCTAGGGGGTAGTTGAATGGGGGTGGTTATCCGGGGGTGAATGTCCAGGGAGTAGGTGTCCGGATACGGGGTAGGTGTCCGGATACGATTTTCAAAGGCACCTTGTATTTTGAGAATGCGATATAAATCTGTGTTTCATGTATTTAAAATACTACTTTTAATACAACTATATACTTATAATAATACAACTATATACTTATAATAATACAACTATATACTTATAATAATGTAATCAAATAGCGCATGTTCTGTATACATAGGCTACATGTTCAAATGCGATTTACAATTACTCAATATGATAATGTTTATTGAGAATACAAGATACGTTACAGTAATTCTCTGCCAATCTTTTGAGATTATATTTTGTATTAGATTCTGACCAACGATTGTTTGTATCGAGATCAAAGGTTTTACTTCAAGAGGTACGTATTGCTAATACAAATGGACTTTCATGATTACTTTAGAGTTATTTTATCACATCGAGAGGAAAATTTACCTGTAACAGTTTCGATGTCTACAGTTCAGACATCTATCTCAGACGCGAATTGGTGGACTAAACCACCAATTTCCCGATCGCCAGTGGTTGTCATTTCGGCGATTACTGTGTCGTATACAGTGTGACTCAAAAAAAAGTTTACACCTAGAAAATTGCTAATTATTTTAAAAATCATCTAAGAACAGTAAATTAGTATACATCTTATGAAAGAACGTTTTATCCCGAATCATTTAGTATCATTTTGCGTAGTATGTGTTCACGCTTACATGAAAAGGAGGTATTGTTTGCGAGAGTGCAAACATTGACTTGCGCCAAAAATACTTGAATAAAACAATTGGGATTTGGGTATTAATTCGGTCTCTACAGATCCAAATAACATCCTTAACAAATATCGATTGTAAAATATCAACGAACATTTGTGCGCGCGTGTGTGTGTTTGTGTGACTTTGCTTCTGCAAAAAGCATATGCAATGCATTTCATTTGATTTATTCTCTCACTCCGCTAATCCCAACATAGTAGGCCTC